GATCAGCTGCTGGAGGAAGCCCTCAGGTATTGATCAGCTGCTTGGAGGAAGCCCTCAGGTATTGATCAGCTGCTGGGAGGAAGTCCTCAGGTATTGATCAGCTGCTTGGAGGAAGCCCTCAGGTATTGATCAGCTGCTTGGAGGAAGCCCTCAGGTATTGATCAGCTGCTTGGAGGAAGCCCTTAGGTATTGATCAGCTGCTTGGAGGAAGCCCTCAGGTATTGATCAGCTGCTGGGAGAAAGCCCTCAGGTATTGATCAGCTGCTTGGAGGAAGCCCTCAGGTATTGATCAGCTGCTGTGAGGTAAGCCCTCTAGGTATTGTATCAGCTGCTTGGAGGAAGCCCTCAGGTATTGATCAGCTGATTGGAGGAAGCCCTCAGGTATTGATCAGCTGATTGGAGGAAGCCCTCAGGTATTGATCAGCTGCTTGGAGGAAGCCCTCAGGTATTGATCAGCTGCTTGGAGGAAGCCCTCAGGTATTGATCAGCTGCTGCTGGCACAGAGAGGTTCCTCTTCTCCACTAAGCATAGAACTGAATTGGTGAGATGAAGCATGCTCTCTAGCAGTCTCTCTCTCTCTCTCTCTCCTCAGATGTGTCTCTTCATCAGAATGCCAGGGAGCGTCAGGACGTCTCTAAGGTGTCCAGGGAGGAGCTGGAGGATCGGTTCCTGCGCCTCCACGAGGAGACGCTGCTCCTCAAACAGAAAACACACAAACAGGACGACAAGATCAGGAAGTGAGAGAAACACAGATGCTACATTTCCCACAATGCAGCCTGTTTTAGTGTTTCATTGATCACAAACATTTCTTTACTCGTGTTCGTCCTCTTGCAATCTACTTATTTATTCAAACAGTTATCACCGCAATAAACCGTATGTCATTTGGTCTTTTGGACATTATTTAATTTCATATTCTGTTTCATGGATAGAGACTTCTTGCACTATTTTATTATATATGGTGCTCTTCCTCCTCTCTCCTCAGGCTGGGCACTAAGTTGATGCGTCTCCTGAAGGATCGTGGTCGTATGGAGCGTCTGGCTGGAGGTCAGGCTGGAGGTCAGGCTGGAGGTCAGGCTGGAGGTCAGGCTGGAGGTCAGGTGATGCGTCTGCGTGACGTGGAGCTGGAGGAGGTGATGGAGGAGCTGCAGGAGCAGGTGAGAGGCCTTCAGGTGGAGAACGTGGGTCTGAAGCAGCGCCTCCTGGTGGCCAAACAGCAGCTGCTCACCTCCCACAGCAGGAGGTCTCCGTACGGCCGCGCCCAATCACGAGTCAACACGGGGGTAAAGAAGGACGACGCCCCCTCCCTGACACACCTGAGGAGTAAGATAAACACACACACACACACACACACACACACACACACACACACACACACACACACACACACACACACACACCCGGAGAGTAAGATAATCACACACACCCGGAGAGTAAGATAAT